TGGTGCAGAGCTGTTTGGTATTTGATGAGTTACTCTTTTAGTCCTGAGTTTGTCACAGGGACAGAAATAGATGTGAAATCTTCTGAACAGGGGAACAGACAGCAAAACAAACATTAGAGGGGAGTTAACCTTTCCCTATGCTATCCAAAACTAAAAAAAATGTTTGGCTAGAGTTTCCCCTACAATATGTACCAGTTCCGACTTACATACAAATTCAACTTAAGAACAAACCTACAGTCCCTATCTTGTACGTAACCCGGGGACTGCCTGTACTGTGAATTGTGTATTCGTATTTTCAGGTCATTTTTAGGGAACTTTGTTGAGGGGGGATTGGAGAAAGACAAACAAATATTCTGTTTGCAATAGTTAGTGAAGCGTCCCGTTATTTAGAAGTCAGAAGCAATCAAATCCAGTACACAAGATCCTTGTAAATTATTTGAAGTTGCTACTTCTTTGCTTGCTGGCTGGTTTCATTCTTTGGCATCATTCACACAATCCTATGAACATCTTTTTTTGGTTCATGCCAAAAAAATTGAATTAAATATCTTATAGCTTTCCAACATCAGAAATGTGCAGACAAGACCTACAAAAATAATACTGTAATTTCAGCAGCTCCTACTACCGTGACTATGCGTTATCATTATCAGGTAATATTGTTTTTCCTTCTCTTCCTCTGAACTTTCTTAGAGTTTCTTCAAGACATCATCTTATAAGTGAGCTTCTTTCATTATTCTTAATTTTAAGGTATGCCTGCTTTTTAATTAAAGGGTTTGATTCATGGACTATGATTCAAAAAACATTCTTTATTTTTTTCTGACACTAAACACACAAAAGTGGCTATGCACCTTGATTCAGCCTTTTTGTACAATTCACTGAGCAAAACCAATTTTAAATACTCAGTACAATGTGTGTTATCAGTGGTCACTTTGATTCTCAACTTGGGCATGAAATATTAAGCTTTGCTTGTTTGTGTGGGCATAGCCAGAAGGCAGCAGCTCCTAGTTCTAAGAAAGTTTGGTTTGGGGTTTTTTTGGTAAAAAGAAATCCAAGCAGGAAACAGCTTTATGAAGAATATGCTCAGCTTCTTAACAGAAGTGCACCCCAGATAACAAGCAATTACCCAAGAACAAATGCCTATAATTTCAGATAAATGGTAGTAGCTGCAAGACCATCTGCAACAGAATCATCTGATGACTCCCAAAAACTGAAAGAGTACGTGAGTTAAGTCTCCTTGAAAGACATTCACACTTTTAATCTCATCTCTAAATGTCCTGGTTTTCTAATGCTTGCTTTGGGGGATAATTACAAAATCTGTGGAATGCTTGTTACACTAAGTTACTGATAAATACTCTCTGCCTTAACTCTAGCAGACCATAGCTTTTTGTCTGGTAACAAATGAGCAGTTTGTATTTCTGAGGAAAAGTGGTCACCATGAGATTCTAATAATGGTGTGAGAAAAATCTGCTGCATATTCATAGGTCGGTTAAACCAAAGCATGTTCCAGACAACTGGAAGGATGAGGAGTGAGTCTGGAAAGAGTTTGAGGGGCCTGGGAGAAGTGTGACTTCTGGAGGCAGCTGGAGTGCTTATTGGGACCTACTAGTTGAAGTACATTTGCCTGTGAGTCATAGACACACTATCAAGTACTGCATCTCAAAACAAGCTAGTCTATTGCTCTAGTAACCCCATAGAAGGGGAGATAATTACACAAAGTTGCCAATCTGAATCAATATTGAAGCAATTCATTTAATTAACATTCCAGGAAAAACAGCAGGGAAATGACAGTGGCATCATTTCTAATGGTCCATGCACCCTGACTACTGATCCCTGGAAGTTCAGAGCAGACATTTTCTCCAAAGCACTGATGGAAGATTTGCTGGGGTGAACAATTATCATCTCCACCAGTTACTTCTCTGCCATAGTCACCTCCATCCTGCAGCCCCCAGTGGGGAAAGGAGTTTACACATAGTGCAAACAGAAAGGGAGGAAAGCTCCCCAAACACATTTTCATGATGAGGTTGAGAACCACAATGGGGTATTTGAATCTTACAAGAGCCACTTATCCTAGAGATGTCTGGTTGGGAACAAGAGAACAGTGAGACAGAGATGGCAAGAGAAGAGAAAACACTCTGCTTCTGCTCTGGAAGTCATGAAGACAATGCCAAGTGAAGGCCAGCAGAGGGTGGCAATTCTCTTCACCAGGCATGTCAAACTAGAAGTCTACTGAGGGCTGCAAAAAGGAAAACTGATAGCTTTCAGGGCCAAATGGTTTGACCAAAAAAATTTGTTGTTGAAGAGGGAAAAAAAAAAAAAAAAAAAAGGTGCCAGATAGAAGGCACCAGTACAGGATGCCTGGCAACTCAAGGGCCCCAAAGAAAATGTACTTCATCGGAAAGTTGTACTTATTTATTATTATGGATTATGTTTTAGATATATTTTATATTATTACAATAACTTGATGTGTAAAATTATTTGCTCAGATTAAATACCTTTAAAATTAATTTTACATCATTTTTAATTTAAATATAAATTTAAGGTACTTTTAAATGTTGTATATGATACCTAACTTGTTTTGTTGAAATAAACACAAGTATAGGCCATAGTTAATCAAATAGAACAGCCTTCTGTGAAAATTTCAGATACTTTGTAAGATACTCATGAAACTGCAAAAATTGACATATTTATAGATATAAAATTAATATACATTGTGATTTTATTTGAGAATAAATAAGCACTCCCAGCTCCCCCCAACTTAATGCCTCCTCCCTCCCCCAGAGCCAGGCATTCCCAACCCCCCCAAGCTAATGACTCCCTCCTACCTCAGAGACAGGCTCTCCCAGCCCCCCATAACCTAATACCTGGGTCCCGGACATACCCTGGGTCGACATTGCTGCCTGAGGCACTATGGCAGCGTGAGCACATCAGCGAGCTGTGAGTGACTGCTGGAGCGCCCCGTGCAGAACGCTCAGCTGGCCTTGAGCGTGTGCACAGAGTGGCCCGGCCAGCTGTGAGTGCCTGCTGGAGCACCCAGCACAGAGCACCCAGCCGGCCGTGAGCACATGCGCAGAGCAGCCCAACCAGCCATGAGCAGATACTGTGATGCAGAGCGGCCCTGCCGGCTATGAGCAGGGACTCAGCCATGTGCTCCAAATGGCCAGCAGGCCGCACTTCATTCTTTTATAAAAATGTTCTGGGGGCCACAAAAAATTTCAGACGGGCCGCATGCAGCCTTCCAAACGCCAGTTTGACATGCCCACTCGACACCATCCTTTCAATACAGTCAGTGAGCTGGGACAAAGAAGTGATTACTTCTGCAACCTCCCACTCTGTAGTGTCCACTGAAGCGGGCTTTCTGAACAAAGAGCTGAAGGTGGATTTGTTAGCATCAGAGGCTCTCAGCTTTAAAAGCAGTACTTCTCCTGTGTCACAAAAGGGAAGAGGGACACTGTTCCAGCCCTTCCTCTACTAGTGTACATTTGGAATTGCAGAAAACTGAGAGAAGCTCACCCTGCAACAGAGAATCTGAAAGTCCTAAGAGTTGCTGAAGCAAAATGCAGAACTATGTAGCACTTTAAAGACTAACAAGATGGTTTATTAGATGATGAGCTTTCGTGGGCCAGACCCACTTCCTCAGATCAAGAAGAAAATAGTCACAACCAAATATACCAAAGGATACAATTAAAAAAAAGTGAACACATGAAAAGGACAAATCACATTTCAGAACAGGAGGAGGATGCGGGGGAGAGGGGGGGAAGCTACACCAGACTAACATGGCTACATTTCTATTGCTATTCTAAGAGTTGCTGACTATCTACCTGCTTATTCTCCCCACCCCTCAGTTAGCAGATTCAGGGACAGGAATACAGCTTGTAGTTGGCACTGATAAACATGAAAGATTACTCTGGGCATGGAGAAGCCCCACAGTCACTAACATTCATTCATCATAATCAGCAATGCTCCAGCACAGCCAGCAAAGGCTGCCTATGACTCAGAATCCATGAAGACATTGGGCCATAGGTTACAAAGCATTAAGCAAAACAGCAGCTAGGACACAAGAGGCCAACAGGCAGGTGAGATTCTTCCTAATGCAGGATGGGAAAATGAGGATCCATACTGGGCACAATCTAGTCAACCTATTTATCCTAAATTGGAGGAAGATTATATCTTGTGGCTAAAGATATCTAGCAGCTTATGTTCCTGGTCTTGCAGTGTAGACTTAAATTGTGGGTGTTTGACTCATAATTCATCAAGTACACTACTAGTGAGTTTGGTTGGGGGTGTGTGACAAGAAGTCCATGCCTTTTGCTAGGACAAAATATTTTGTCCACCCTGGGAGTTATTGGGGGGATTGAGGCTGGAGTTTGCCAAAGTGCTTCTGATGGTTCTAAGATTAAATGACATGAATGTCAAGCTTACATCTGTAGGAGGAACTGGACTTTCAGTAACTTATAAAGCTTAGTTTTAAACACACTTACAATCTTTTTTAATACAGTAAACACTAATGATAGTTTTACCAGGCCACTTGACCTAAGCATTGTACACCTATATATTGTTACTAAGCTCATTTGTGCTAATTTATAGCATGACACCAGATGCATGGGTGCTGGGGGAGGGTCAGGGCTGCAGTGCAGGAGGGGGATTTAGTGCTAGCTCCACAAGGGAAGCATGGAATATTACCTATAGAGGAGAGCTGGCATGCAGCCTCCTGATGGGCAGCTCCCAGACAGGCTAAGGTTAGCACCTTACCTGTCCCTTCCTGAGAACAGCATGGGGCAATGTGCCCATATGGCTTCAGGGATGCCAGGCACTATCCCTCTGCCAACACCAGCACCTTAGTGTTCATTGTCCAGAAATGTATTCTTTCCCCCCCTCCCCGCCACAGCTATTTTCCTAGAACAGTAATGGCATGGGAGTAGGGTAGGACCTTCCCCCCAGAATCAACCAGTTGGTTATCACTGATTCAGGATGGAATGTAGACTTAAAAAAACCAAACACACATGGTCTTTTAACATTTTATTACAGGTATACATCCTTTTTGCAAATACAAGAAAAAAATATCTAGGTAGTTTCTCAAACTCTACTATAGCTGACAAATTTGAGATTAATGTTTGGAAGCTAAGGTAGTCATTGAAAATCTGTCTTGGGGTATGGTGGATTCTCCATTCTTTTAAATCAAAATTTAACATCTAAATGACCTACTCACTTTATAGCAGAAGTTACAGGTTTAACCAAGGAATAAGTAGGTGAAGATGCACTGGTTAGGTCTGTCAAATAAAGGATTGCCAACATTCCACCCCATTCCTGGGGCCTTAAATTAAAAATGGACAATTGTCCACTGAATTACATAGATCTGATTGAAGTGTGGCTGAGTCTGAGACCAAAAAAGGCAGAATATAGGAGAAGATTCTGCTCTTTTTTTTAAAATACATTTAGGCTTGTAATTTATTGGTGTAGTGCTGCTGACATTCTTTGCATAAGCAAGCAAGGCAGGCCTCTCTCATTTGGAGGTAGAGTAAGTGTAAGGACCACACTAGGCAAATTTTTGCATTCTATTATTTCTATAAACTAGTTATGGGAAACCAACTGAAGATGTTTTAGAAAATCTACACATCAGAGGGATTCTAAGGTGTGTATATCTTTCCATCCTACATACAGTGCAATTTTAGGGGCTTATGAGAAATTTTGCTGTTTTTATAAGATGTTGTTACTTTAAATACTAGTTGAAATATATCTTCATGTGCCATAAAATTCTTATGTTATTTGAAACTAATAAATTATTGGATTAAATTGTTTGAGGTAAGATAAGGTCAATGTCATCTGCAATGAGATGGGTTATACCATTCTAGCCATTTTCTTACTCTTAGGATTTTTCTAGAAACGATACATTACAGCAAGTTGTTAAATGATCATGGATGGAATCAGTCAACTACCACCAATCAGGAGCTGCAAGTTCAAATCCCGTTTTTCCCCCCTGTTTAAAAACAAAAAACAAGAGTTAACACTAACAAAGTAACTCACAATGGCAATATATAATAATTTGTCATGCCTCCAGTATGCCTCAAGCTTTCCTCATCCATTTCCAATTAAAGTGGAGGTCAACTAAGTCAATGTAAGCCAAGCTTTAAATTTAAGAGCACACACAAGTTGTTTACACTAGTTAGATTTAATACCTTTACAAGTTTTGCAGATCAAATCAATAGCTTGGCACTAAAGGCTTTGTCTACAACATACAAGGAGCCAAGAATGAAATTCAAGCTACTGAATGGGAAAAAAAAACAAGCTTATGCATCTTTAAGGTTCCAGAGGATTCCTTGTTTTTCCTGAAATAGATTAACAGCAGCAATCTCTGAAGTGTCAGAATTATAATTCCCCCATCACAAAAATAAGTGATGTAGAGGGCTAACAAATAATCTTACACTGAAGTGTTTTATTCTCTTCAGTGGCAAAGTTAAGTTTTCATGAAGGCATCTCAGGTAGGTGCATAAGGAGTTCTAAATTCATATATATTCCACCAGTTTACTTCTAAAGCAGAAAAATATTTCCACGCACCTCAGTCTGGTGTTCCTATTTATATTATGTTCCTGGGAATTTGTCATTTTTTAAATGGGAGATTTTTATGCCAAATATCTTGCACTTGATAGAACTTGCATCCAGGCATCTGATTATTGCAAATACATTCTTGAGGCCTCTGAAACCAGGAAAAACATCACTTGATCACAAATCAATTATTTAACACCATGAAGTTAAGCATGGCAATCTGATGCCATCACTAAAAGTTCATAAGAACACTCATACTGGGTCAGACCAAAGGCCCATCTAGTCCAGTATCTGTCTGACAATGGCCATGCTAGATACCCCAAAAGGAAATTAATAGAACAGGACACTCCCTGTCACTCATTCCCAGCTTCAGGCAGGTAGAGGGTAGGGACACACTCTCTGCCCATTCTGGCTAACAGCAATTGATGGACCTATGCTCCATGGATTTATCCAATTCTTTTTTTGAACCCTATTAAAGTCTTGTCCTTCACAACATCCTCTGGCAAGAGTTGTGCCTAGTGTGAAGAAATACTATCTTTTATTGTCATTTGGTGACCTCCTGTTATGCATAGGAGTAAATACTTGTCAGCTTTCTCCACACTAGTCATGATTTTACAGACTCCTATCATATCTCATCATCTCTTTTCCAAGCTGAGAAGTCCAAATCTTATTAATCTCTCCTTAAATGGAAGCCATTCCATAACCCTAACCATTTTTGTTGCCTTTTTAACATTTCCAATTCTTCTTTGAGACATGACCACATCTGCACAGTATTCAAGATGTTGATATACCATAAATTTATATAGGCAATATTAAGAAAGGGATAGATTAGACAATTTCCAACATTCTGTTCACTGACTGCTGATGCATAGAGTGGATGTTTTCAGAGAACTATCCACAATGTTGGCAAGATCTTTGAATAGTAACAGCTAATTTAGAGCCCATCATTTTATGTGTATAGTTGGGATTATCTAATGTGCCTTATTTTGCATTTATCAACATTCAAAATCATTGGGTAGCTTTGTATCACCTGCAAGTTTTGCCACTTCACGGTTTACTTTCTCCAGATCGTTTATGAATATGTTGAACAGAACTGGTCCCAGAACAGATCCTTGGGGGACACTACTCTATTTCTCTCCATTCTGAGAATAGATCATTTATAACTCCCCTTTGTTTCCCCATCTTATCTTTTAACGAGTTACAGATATAAGAGAGCGCTTTCCCCAGCCTTTGGTGAGGGACCTTGTCAAAGACTTTTTGAAAATCTAAGTATACTGTATCTACTAGATCCTCTTGTACACATAAGTCACATTTAAGTAAATGAACCCCCCAAAAAACAAATTTACTTTTGAATAAATTTAATACATTAGATTTGTCATAAGTTTGTGCCTCCCGACAGGATCCAGAGAAGAGTTTTCATCTCACCTCTGGGTTTTAGAGAGTGTTACTATACCCCTCTGTGTTGGCCACTTAAAGCACAGTCTACCTTAAGAGGGCAAAGCAAAAAAGGGGATGCATTAACAAGCATTTTAGTATTCTTGATAGAACTCACTGCAATTTACAATTGATCTGTAGGCAAAAATTCAAGTCAAGCCAAGCTAACTTTCATTCAATTAGAAACACTTACCTTCCATCAGAGGAACGCCATTCTTAAGTGATGCCTTCATGAGCATTTATCTACACCGCATTTTAAAAAAAATGATAAAGATAAAAATCACTTGCTTATATTTAAACAACCAGCGAAATCAAATGGGGTTATACATAGTTAATGTTTTCTAAAACCAAAAGTTTAGGGAAAATATTTGGTTTCCCAAACT